GGGCTGCTTGATGCTGCACGCAGGGTGCCCCACCAGGGGAGGAAGCCACCACTGAACCTGCACCACAGGTACCGCTCCTGCCATACGTGTCTCCCTGGCCGTGGACAGGCCAGGCGCCACCCACCCACCTTTCCCCGTAGGACGGTGTGGACGCTGCCGTCCCTGAACTCTGGCTCCCAGGGCCTGCTGGTCAGTGCAGTCATGCATGCCAGGGGTCCAGGTGACCTCACCGGGGCTGCCCCTTGCCAGAAACGTCCTGACCACCTGGACCCCAGCCCCATGGGCCACCTGAGGGGTCCTGGTCGGACCTGCACTTGGGCAGCTGTGGGCAGCGGTAAAATGCGCCCACCCCACATCCCCATCCATGGAGTGAGAGGGTCTGTAACCAACCAGGCTCCCGCCCACAGCGCTGGGCCTCCCTCACCACACGGGGCTTTCAGAAGTAAAAGCTGGGAAGAAAGCACGTCATGTCCTTCAGAAGTGAAGATGAAGTGGAAAATTCACCTTGGCCCCGCAGATGAAACATTGTAGACTTTGCTCGTATTTCCATTCTGCAGAGTAAGGCCTCGCTCCATTTTCCCAGCCTCTTAAAGGAGCAGCATCTCTAAGAGCAGAAGGCTGTTCTCAGCAAAGCTACAGAAAGCAAATGGAGGGGAAGCAGTTTCAGGGATGGAGCCACGGGGTGAGGGGCCAGGGCAGGTGGCCGGAGGCGAGGTCGCCGTGGGGAGCGGTATTGCGTAGACCTGCCCAGTGACTCACAGTGGCCGCCGCACCCCAGCAAGACAGGCCCTTCCCCGGCAGGGGTACCTCGTGAGGACCCCCTCAATTCCACCGTCTAGCTGCTCCCCAAACCCAGCTGACCCGAATTTGTACCGTGTTTTTGTGACTCAGTTCAAACCCAAATACCTGAAAGGTGTTTTCACACAGGAAGAAGGATATTCTTCTGAAGCTTAGGAATATAGTGTATCTAGTGTTAGACTTTACAGGTTTCCTGTGAGGAAAGTTTCTGGTGACCACACTGATGCATCGAGGGCCCTCCTGGCCCAGGTGATGAGCACGGACTTTCTGAGGTCGGGTCCCTCTTGGCCCAGGTGAGGATCAGGTGGTCTCCCCGAGGTCAGGTCCTTGTCGGCCCAGGTGAGGATCAGGTGATCTCCCCGAGGTCGGGTCCCTGTTAGCGCAGGTGAGGAT